ACTATACGAAGTGTCCAATAAAAATTAATATAAAAATTGTCCAATAATATATAACTAACAAAATAAACTATAACAATCTCTATGGGGGTGTAGTAGCTGTTCCTGTTGAGAATCTCTATGTAAATGTAATAGGTGAAATAAAATGCTTAGATTTGCAGTTTCAATATAAAGGAAAGTGGCAGAGTTTAGATGGCACCGAAGTAATAGACTTCCAAATTCGCAAAAATTCATCATTCGATCTAGTGTTAGGTCAAGATTGGTTATGGATGCATAAAGCAAAAATAAGCTTTGGATTTTCTTCTGAAACATGTATCCATCATGCTAAAATTGAAATAGATGGTATGAGTATTCCATTAATTGAAGAAGGTAGCAGACCCGTGGGCGATTCTTCGAATCATAAAACCAGCTCTGGTAAAAATAACTCACCTAAGTCTGATCTATCAATAGAGGAGATCGTGAATATAATCAAGAAACTTCTTTCAAATGTCAAAGATAATAAACACCAAAAGAGTCATCATGAGATATTTCGCAACATAACTCCTATACCTCCACCATCCAGAAGATTAAATGATGATATACCCAAAAATAGCAGAGCTAGCAAGAATAAGAAATATTCTAAAGTAGATTTAGGCAATGGGTGTGGAAAACTTTCAATCAAAACGCACCTCAATAATATTTGGAAGTTGATTCATTCTATAGAAAATGATATAGAGTATGGAATTTTTGAAAAACTCCGTATTATTGAGTATGAACTAAGTTGCATAAATAAAGCAAAGCTACCATTGATAAAATCTGAGACAGAGACTAATTCATCCAGCTCTGATTCAGAATCTACGGATTCAGACTGGTATGATCTCGATCCGATAAAACCCCGAAAGAATCGTGTTTATATTATAAAGAAAAAGGTTGACTCTTCTATCCGAAAACATCGTAAAAATAAGCCAATTAGAATAAAGTAATCGTTAAACCAGGAAATTATTATCAGTGATATTGGTATAGAAGTTCATGTAACATATGTAATTGTCTACTGTATTAAATAAATAATCATCATCTGAGATGTGTAAGAGACCTCTGGATCTCGCTATGTCTGGCTAAAAATTTGTACGAAATGAGTATGGATTTCTTCTCATTCTTTCATCAGATCGTTTAGCCATGTAGTACTTAAACCGCTCTTTAATATACTGTGACGTAATAACTCTTCTCCGATTAGCCTATCCTGATCTGTTAAAAATTTATGATATTTTCTGGTATCTTCATTCCTTTTTATTCCTCCGCGATAAAAACGTATATCTCTTTTCAAGTCAGCAGGAAACACCCCATAGTCCACCTATTTTTCTCAGCCTCAGTAATGACTGAAAATTCCTCAGGATCCATTCCATGTTTGATGGCATATTGATAAAGGTGGGTTTTGTTTGGATGAATTAGTGAGTTACTGATTTTGTTTGATACCCTTACTTGAGTTTCCGGCAAACTCTGTATGGCAACAATAACTTTCTTTTGATTGATACGAAAAGGGCAATTAAGAAAATAGTGATCATTTTTACTGAGACAGCTCCAATTACTCCATATATCTCGATGTGTATGTACCTCTTTGCATACAGGGCATTTAGTTTCTGAATCAGTATATTTAAATACATCTCGATGCCATGCATTCGAATTAGTGTAAGACAAGAAAGGGAAACGTTTATGTACTGCTTCATGGATTATACTTTTTTCATCCGGAAACTTAGAAATCTTGATAATACAGTCATGACTCATATAATTACCAGTATCCTTTTTGATTTGAGAGGATTCGGAGTTTATCCAAGGATTGAGTCCAGTTTTTTTCTTGTAACTTGGAACGAAGTTTATCAGATATAGTGGTTGGCAAATCAGTTAATTTGGAATACCAATCCAGATATTCGGGAGTTAGTAGTACCTTATCAGACTTGGCTTGTGTATCCATGTTGTCATTTATGTAATTTCAAAGCAATTTAATTTCTCACATTGGATATCATGTACTAAAAAAATATTATTTCCTAACCGCTCACAAGTTTGTGTCCAGATGTGTACAGTTGAGTTTTTTTAGCACCTTTGGTACTTGCTCCACTAATGCATCTCCGAGTGTACGTTAACTGCAATACTATATACACTTCACCAACAATGAGAGTAATGAATTGGCAGAGTTTATGCAGTAATTTGAATTTCGCGCTGTTCATATTTAATATAGTATGATCCTGTTTCATATTTACCTTCTATATCTTCCTCATCATCATGGTCTAACTTGCATAAAGGACATAATGTCTCGGCAGTAATTCCGTAATAATCAACATTTTCACTACTGAATTCATAATATAAATCAGGATATTGTTCCAATACTTTATTGCGAAAAATAGCACGGTCGTGGCTCAGATTATTCTGTTCTTCAGGTAAGGTCTTTTGGGGTAAAGTTTTCTTTTCAGTTTCAGGCATAGATCCTACACTCACCTTTACTTTCGAGTTGAGAAAAGCATCAGAGGCTTGAGTTTTAGTTGGCTTACTTACCTTGGCTTCTGAAAATTTCTTCAAATCTTGATCGTTTCCTTGGAATGGTTTGGTCACGTGCACGTGAAGATTCTTCACGCTGATTACTTTTTGACATTCAGTTTGAAAATTAACAATGGAATTATCTTGCTCGTTAATTAATTCTACATTAGGTTTCTCAGAGAAAAGATTTATTATATTTTGAATTTGAATACCATTTAAACTAGAAATAGCGTCAGCACTATATGTAATATGCTTGATTTTATCTATTCCTATTTCTTTGAATAATGTATAAATATTTCTTGTCTTTTGAGTCTTCTTATGCAAATACTCTCTCTTGATACCAGGAAGATACAGTTCTATTTCATTGTAAATCTGTGTTCTTGCCATTTGATCATTAATTTCATTTTCTGAGCTAATATTTCTAACCTTTTTTTCGAATTTCTCACTATAATAATACCAACGTAAAATTTTTTTCTGACCAGTTTTTTTAGCCTTGTCAAATAAATGAGCTAAATGTGATGCAGATCCCGAAGTCTCACGAAGTGAGGATGTTTTCTCATCTAGATCATCACCGGTTAGCATATTTTCAGCTGTGCTGACTCCGCCAAGAATTAGTTTATCAGATGTAGAATTCGAAAGACTTTTTTCATTAGTAATAGTAAATACAGATAACTCGCGTATTAAACCTTGTTCTACTTTTTGATTATAGGAAATTTTTATTTCGGAAGAAATAGTTTTTTGGTCATGGGTCAGAGTGGATATAGTATCTTGGGAAATTTCAGTTGTATGATTTATTTCTGAAGAAATGACACTTTGTACCCGATTAATAGGCGCTTCTGAAATATTCTGGTTCTCATTTCGATTGATAGGCATTTGCTCAACAGAGAGTGTATCCTGAGTAGATGAGAAAGCCTCTTGAGCTTGAAGCTTCTTTTCTCTGTTTCTTTCTCTTATTTCATTACTAATCATTTCCTTATTTGTTAAATACAGAAACTTGTTAATCTTTTTATCTTCCAATGATTTAGGTTCCATATAGGTAGGTTGACATGCATCAGAATTGCCGTAGGCAGTCATAGAGTGGCTAGATGCATCAGATGTATTTTCTACCTTTTCAGGATTATTGTCAGAATTTATTTTGGGAGAAATAGCACTTTGTGCCTGCTCAAGGTTTACAGAATTGGTACTATCATCTTCACCAGAGCGAGTATTAATAGGTGATGGAATAGGCATTTGTGAAATTACTGATAATGCCGGAGAAACTGGAGACTGTGAAGCATTATTAGTAGTTCGATTTTGTTTTATGATTTGTTTTAGTTTTGTATTTTCGATCCTAAGATTAGCAATTTCTTCTATGATCTGTTTTAATTTGGTATTTTCTACCTCAAGTTTGGCAACTCGCTGTTTTAATAATTCGAGCTCTGATGACATGTTCGATAATAATTTTTTTATATAAGTCAGATTTATTTAAATTATCGAGTTAAAAAAATCACGTGCGCGTGAAGATTTTTCACGCCGATCACTTCTCCAAGAAAAACTTTTCACATATGTCACGAGTTAGTAACAACAAACAGGTTACACGATTACATCATGCATGAAAAGTTCCATGACCTTCGATTTTCTTCTGTGATATAGCATGTGATGTGTTGATCGAACATCTGTGTCTATGCAATCGATTTTATTATTTATCTACTTGGACATAAATACAAATATCCGCAACATCACTACTACTGGAGAACAGTTAACCGTTGTGCGCCTTCTTCAAACCTCTTCGAGCGAGGTAGGTTTTATATCTTTTTCGTCTCTTTCACATAATTTACGACAGCTTTTCAAGAACAAATGACGCGTCTGCGGTAGAGTACGTTCTACCGGAAGCCAGCATCTGGCAAGTCATCAATCATCTAGGATGGCCGGCTGATTTTGGACTACAAAGTTGTTAGGTGTCTGTTGAGTACTCAAAGCGTCTGCGATAGAGTACGTTCTATCGGAAGCCAGTAATGGCAAGTCATCATCATTTAGGATGGCCGGCTGTTGAGGAAATAACAGCACGCACACCTGAGTTGTTATTTGGGTTTAATCAAACAAAAATTCACTCATTTCCCTTTTTGTTAAAATTTTTATACGTTGAGATATCATTATGAGCACTTCACGCAAAGCCCTTAGGAAACGCCATATAGATTGGATGATCTCGTATAACAACCCAACTCCTATAGAATTCTTTCGTTTCATCCAACCAATACATAAATCTCGTGCGATTGAAAAGTATGTTAAAATACTCGATGAGGCTATCAACCTATGTGAGGATCAGGAAAAACAGTTAAAACTAAGAAATCTTAAAGAAACCGTTAATGTATGTAATCAAATACGTTTTATTTCAAGTATATTGTATCTCTTACATATACTTTTATTATTAATAGTGCAATTCAGATTGGAGTTTGTGGCTTGTAGAAAAAAAAGCGGTGCGTTCAATCGCAAACTCAACAAAGTTCGCAACTAATATGATAACTTTAATCTGATAGGAGTCAATTCGTGACGAAATCCATGAAACGAATATGGGAGTACACCAAGAATTAAATGTCATTGTCAGGAATAAAGGAAAACAAAAGGTAACATTATTAATCTTCTGAATTAGTCTTGATTGTGGATACGTATTAAAATTTTATTCTGCAGATTAATTACAATGATGAGGAAGGTGATAGGGTCAAAGATAATAATGATAGCATCGGAGATAAAAATGAGGAAGGTGGTAGCAGTAACAATGATGGAATCGAGGAAAGTGATGGCTACAATGACGATAGCACCGACGATAAAGAAGAGGAATACAGCAACGATAGTGATATAAACGGGAAAGAATATGTAGATGAAGACAAGGTCCGCATCTTTTTTTTTTACACGTGGATCTGATAAGAAAAATATTAATTTGTTTTGTTTTTTTTATAGATAGTCGTACACGATATCCTTGATTCTGATATATCAGCAACTCAGGCTGAACAAGATATTTTAAAAATATATCATTCAAATTTTGATAATTGTCCTGCCATGGACCTTCGGCTATATTCAAAACTATCCCTCTTGTTAGACCAAGAGTTGCAAGATAATATTTTACATGAAGTTTTTGATGAAATAGACAATGACTATATAACAGATGAAATCCACAATTTCCTCACCGACTTTTTTAATGCCGATCACGGCAAACAAGGATGGTGCGAATCAGTTCGGAGAATAGTCATTAATGATAAGGATTCAGAATTACTGCAATGTACAAAAGAGTTGCTTAAAGGAACACTGGGGCAGTTGTAAGTAAGAAGTTCAGATGATCTTATTTACAAAGTCATAATCAATTATTAATAAACTATACGTATAGTGTAAAGGCCTTTTCCTTGGATGCGTTGAATCCCTTAAGAGATATTACGATATTAGAAAGACCACATCTCAATCAATTCATACACCCGTTAATTGACAATGTATTGTGGATCTTCGCAAGTATTAATTATATATCGTAAGTTGAAGCGGTCTTAATTCCTCTTTTGATTTTTCTTAGAATTAATCACATTTTCCTTCATTAGTGGCGAAATTTCTCTGCAAGGAAAAGCAAGAGTCATGGTGGACGGTGCTGGATACCTTAATGATGTTTCAAACTATCAAATTATTTGCATGGAGGGAGCAAAACCGGGGGCGAGAAATAAGAAAAATGTTGACGACGATAAAAAGAACATTAAAAGCATGATACAACTGTTTAATAATATAATTGTATCAGAAGCTTCAGAACGAAGACAAATATACACAGGTCTTCGAGTATATGGTGCCACCGCTTATAAAACCGAACTCTCCCTTACAATGCTTGATTTTCGCGGTACGTAAAATGCAAAAATTTATAGTGATATTATAAATTACCTATGAATCTACTAATTTAATTTTACTTGATCATTAGGGACATATCGTTTGTTTGAAGTAGACCGTTTTAGTCTTCCAAAAGATTGGGTAGACATGCCAAAATTCGCCTTTATGTATGAAGCTCTTATAAAGTGGGCGGTAAGTATATGCGCGAATTTATCATCTGTTTCAAAAATGGCACTACGTAGTAATGATCAGAAATTATTATACAGTTGTGCGTCCGTCATACGAGAGAAAATTTGATTGCCCAGCGCAAAAAGAGAAGAATGGGAAGGTACTCTGAAGCAAGAATTGCCAAAAAACTCACGGGTCTAAAATGACTGATTTATACAATGTTTATATGATTTACTTTATACCAATAAATAATTCATATGAAAATTGATCTGAACCAATACACATCTCGGCAGGCGATCACCATATAACATGGTGATACTTTATTTTTCTGATGCATCGTTCGTTGATTGTATTTGAAATACTATTCCAAAAGTCTACCCTGCTACTGCTGGGAATGTTATAATACTCCGCATTTCGATTTCTTCTTTCGTCAATTGGTAAGCACAGTTGATCATCGGTCCACATCACAAAAATTTAGACGATCCTAATTTCAACGGATGTTCAACTGAGATATGATATTTCCATACGTTTTTTATAAGAAAAAAAATCATCGTACCTTCAACGGACCTTCAACGGGCCTTCATCGTGCCTTCATATCGGATTTGCACATCTCGGATTTGTCTATCTCGGATTTGTCTATCTCGGACCGGGCGATCTCAAATGGTAAATGTCATACATCCATATAGTTGGAAAATTAAATCATATGCTTGTAATACACCCGAAATAGATTCCACATCCGAAATAGATTTCATACCAAAATAGATCCCACATGCTTGAAATAGATTTCATTCACGGAGGTTGTTTCATATGCTCCATCAATTATCATGAGCAATTGTTTATAACCGGATAATATCTACATAGTTGATTTTA